TACTGCAGAAGGCCATCCTCGCTCGCACGGTTGGTCGTGTTCCGTGTCTTCCTGCTGCTCTTCGGGGCACGCTTCCCACCTCCGCCGGCTTGTCCATCGCCCGACAAGTCAAACACGTCACTGCTGCCGCTGCTGCTGGCGCTGCTTGGATGCTCCGGTGAGGTGCCATTGTTGGGTTTCACGGTGCCGTACACAAGCAGGGTGGCCAGCTTCTCAGATAGCCCGTCTAACTCCTCCTCCGTTGGACACCCAGGATCCCCTACTGTCCACCCGTCGGTGTACACGGAGACGCGATCACATGCCATGAACAACTGATAGTCGGCGCCGTACTTATCACACAACTCCTTCACCATATACGCGTCAAAACCACCGATTTCGAAGCCCGCTCCCTTAACAACGCTGAAATCATGCAGCGATAGGTTTCCCCATGGGGCTCGCAGCCTGTTACCGACCGCCTGCTCGAGGATACAGACCGCAGTCTCCCAAGGAAGTTGTTCTTGAGTAAATCCCTTGGTGAGGACGAGGTCCACCTGCTCCGTCGTCGCTCCTGTGATGTAGGCCAGATCAACCTCATTTTGCGCGCTGAGCTTCTTTTGGATGTCCGCGCCGAGCGGGGGCAACTTCCTTGCAGCCCCTCCCCCCTCGCTTGCCCGCTGGCTACCCGCCGTTGAGAGCTCGCGTTGAAGAACTTTGGCACGCGCGCGTTCGTCGCTGGCGTGGGCCGCCCCGAATGATGTCGAGCCGGCCCCTGGTGCGCAACGCCTTTCGGCGTTCTGCTTCTCCGCGACGCCCGCCGCCCTGATGTTGGCGAGCTTCTCTTTCTCGATCCTCTTCTCAGCCCTCAATCCAGCTTTCGCGTCCACGATCGCACCCCGCACTTTTTCCTGCATGAGCGCCAAGACACAGGCATCGCGACGTGTAGGCCGGACGACGGTAATCACCAACCCTTCTCATACCTGAAGTGTACTGCTCCAACATGCGGATAAGCCAATTCTCGAATGTAAATGCCATCACTCAAACACGAACCGTCCCGGGAAAAAAACAATCTGGCTAAACTCGCTTGTGTTGTCTGCGAACGGTCCTGTCTGAGTCTCGGAATGGTTTCGGGCGCCGCCGGTGCAGACAACGCCAACACGTCACGACGTAGGTGTGCTCTAGCACTTGCCGTCCTGTTGTTTACATATATCATCGTGCACCCGAACGAGGTCGAAACTTGTTGCCAATCCATGCTCTTCTTGGCCTTCCCGCGACAGGGCATTGTGGGGGCGGGGAGCACAATCGAAGTCAACCAATCTTACAGGACTTTCGAGGCGCCAATGATAGCGACGAACACATGTCCGCGGGTTGGTGGTGTGAGCGTGGGGGGGGAGGGGGGCTTGCTGTACCGACGTAGAAATTCCACTCAGGGCATTCGCTGTTGGTACAATAGGCATCACGAGGTTGTCCTATCGCTCACGCCTCTCACCAGCTTAATCTCATCTTCGCCAAGGTTTTCCGAGCCGTCTTCCCCCCCGCCGGTCGTGGCCGCGGCCTTATTCTCTGCTCCAGTCTTCTCGGAAACCATGGCGGTGAATTTGGAGATGATCGCAGTGTCACTGATTCCCTCGAACATGATGTTCCACGGAGTTTCGCCCCGTATCTCCTTGTCGGCCTTCAGCCACTGCTGCGGCACCGTTTCCTTGCGACCTCTAACCTGCCAGCATTGAAACTTGAGCCCTGCGTCAAACATGACAAAGCGCCGGAAAAAAAAAAAAGGACGCGGAGACATGCGCAAAGATTTGAGACGCTCTTGGTTATTTTTTCACAGCTGCGCATGATGGCCGAACAACACTGCTGCATGCTAATAAGATAGCAGATGGCAGCAACCGGGGGGGTGTAACGAAACCCATGGTGCGTGGCAGATGATGTGGATGTGCAATATGTGTGTCTCACTCAACAGGAGGGCGCGCGCGATTTTTGATTTTTGAAATGCGGATCAAACCAGTCACCTATCCGTACTATTAATACATGCCTGGTACCACTTACGTACGCTGGTAAGCTATCCATCAAGGGACAATCAAAGGACGTGCTACAACTGCTTGGCTGCGTCCCGCATGTGGGAGTATGGCGGCGTTGAGCCTAACTAAGTTGATGGGATGCGGCGGCCGGGCGTGTCTTGTTCTTGTTCTCGTGCGATTGTGTGTACACATGGACAAAGTTGAGTTGCGAGTTGCGCGCGCGATCGTAGCAGCAGCAGCAGCAGCAGCAGCAGCAGCAGCAGCAGCAGCAGCAATCTCGAGGGAGGCGAAGCGAACCAGATGGCGGCCGTACAACTGCAAATTCGAATCATGCCGGAGCTGGATCCTATCGCATCATGCCAGAGCTATATCCTATCTGCGAATCAAGGCAACAGCAGCAGGACATACGGCGGTCTAGACCCAAGATGGACCATGTGTAGAAAGAGAGCCGTGCTCTCGCATCTACACAGCAGTAGAGACTTACCCTTCTCAGCAACGCGGATCATGCATGGAAGCGTCCACTTGCCCTTCCTTGGTGGCTTAGCCTGCACATTGCCACGCGGTGTCGACAGGACCTGTACTCCATCCTCCTCAAGACCACCAGCAGGAGGAGGTGGGTTGCCAGAGCCACCACTGCTGTCTCTCGACTCTTATCCGCCGAACTCCTCCAGTTCCCTAGCCTTCCGCTGCCCTGCTGCCAGAAAAGAAGTCTCCTGGTCGTCGCTAACCCTATCACGAACTTTGAAAGAGGGGGCTACGGTCCTCGAGCTTTGGCGGACTGCGTTGGTCGACATCCTTCCCGTCGCTACTCGCCCTGGTGTGGTCTGGTGCGGTGCTGCTGTGCGGTGCTGCTGTACGGTGCTGCTGTGCTACTACTGTCCTGCTAAGTTCCCTTTCATAAATAATAAACTTTGGAAAGGAACGGAAATGTTCAGCTTTTACAAACGCCAGCTGGCCTTCGTGTTAAAAAAATCTTCCAGTTTTTAGGGCGGCCATAAACTGGCTTTTTTCCCAAAAAAGTGAGAGTGAACTTTTCAAAACGCATTTCCGCAACAGTGTAATAATGTGATCTCTGCTGAAAACAATTGCGCGCTCAGAGCTGTTAAAAAATTATGTACTTCGTATACTATATGTTGTTGCTGCTGTGGAACATAAAAACTTAGCTGAACAAAAACTTGCCATTGAACGAATCGTAATGGAGGACTTTACTCGGAGTTTCTGCTTTTAGCGTGGGAGGGACCGCATAGTACAAGTGTGCTCTTATCGGCCGCGTGGGTGGTGTTGCCACCATTGTTTCCGCCCCTACCTACTATAAAAGCTAGAATGTGACGCGGTGAAGCCATAGGCAACATGTAGCGTAGCGGTCAGCATCAACCTATGTAGGCCCAAGTTGCAGGTTCGATTCCACCTCATGCTATGTTATCTTTACAGATCAATTCGGCGTAGTGTTGCCATATGTCTTCGTGTTCTTCAGATCCTCAGATGGCTCTAGCACTTTTGTGGCCACGGGCTGAGAGTCTTTGCTAGATTTTGGCATTTGGCAACTGACATACGGTTTAATGTGAAGACAACAACAACGACAATCACAATGCCAAGCGAGGAATTGCGTAACTGTAACACAAAGGCGGTTTGAGTACAATGTAGCAATGGAGGGGAAGGCTCTGTTCGTGAGTCTGCGAACATTGCTGTTGGATACATGTGCTGGATGATTTTGTGTCACGCAGACTGGTAAGATAACCGTTTGATAGGGGGCACCGCGATGATTCACGGGGCCCCTCCTTGCTGTGGGAGCCGCTCTTTGAGC